TGCTAGTGGTCAGTTAGAAAGAAGAAGAGAAGTGATTGGATTTATACCCTGCCCTTCACTACCCAAAGGTGTCTCAGAGCAGCTTACAAACTCCTTTCCCTTCCCCTCCCCACAACAGACACCCTGTGAGGTAGGTGGAGCTGAGAGAGCTCTTGACAGAAACTGCTCTTTATCAAGAATAGCTGTTATCAGAGCTATGGCTTGCCCAAGGTCATCCAGCCAGGTGCAAGTGGAGGAGTGGGGAATCAAACCTGGTTCTCCCAGATTAGAGTCCGCACACTTAACCACTACACCAAACTGAAAGAAGAAGAAGAGTTGCTTTTATACCCCACTCTTCACTACCTGAAGGAGTCTCGGAGCAGCTTACAGTCTCCTTCCCTTCCTCTCCCCACAACAGGCACCTTGTGAGGAAGGTGGGACTGAGAGAGTTCTGAGAGAGCTGTGACTGACCCAAGGTCACCCAGCTGGCTTCATGAGGAGGAGTGGAGAATCAAACCCAGTTCTCCATATTAGAGTCCGGCGCTCTTAACCACTGCACCAAGCTGGAAAGGAGTCTGTTGCGGTGGGAACAAACAGCAGTTGAGTGTAAGGTTTTGGGACTAGAGTCCAGTCCTTAGGATTGCTAGCTCTGGGATGAAAAAGTCCTGGAGATCTGGAGGCAGAGCTTGGGGAGGGGAGGGAGCTTAGAAGGGATATGATGCCCTAGAGTACACCCTCCAAGTCAGCCGTTTTCTCCAGGGGAACTGATCTCTGTTGTAATTCTAAGAGATAGCCAGGCTCCATCTAGAAGTTGGCATTGCTACTCAGAAATGCCCTGTTTTATTCCATGGGGCTTAATCCAAAATAAGTGTTCTTAGGACTACTGCAGGGGTGTCGAACTCATTTGTTATGAGGGCCAGATCTGACATAAATGAGACCTTGTTGGGCCGGCCCATGTGTGTCATAAAATGTAATGCCAGGTAGCAGAGATAGAAACTCAAAACAAAGATTTTTTTAAAAATTAAAATAAAAACATGCTTAAAACATTAGCTCTGTAAGTTGCAAACCTACTTTTGATTTATTGACATTCACCACAGAGATCTCATGCTCAGAGTTCTGAGTCTAGGACCCAGGTTAAAACATGAAATGGCTGAGTGATTAAAAGAGTCTGACGAAGCAAGCTATGATGCAGCAGCAGCAGCAGAACTGGAAGCAGGAGATGGCCAGTTCCACTGTGGGCCTGATGGAAGCCCTCCGGGGGCCTGATCCGGCCCCTGGGCCACATGTTTGACACCCCTGGACTACAGCCTTGGTATAGGAGGTAAGGAAAGAAAACAACAGCAGGGCCATGGGACCACAAAAGGCAGGAAATACATGGTGAACGTCTGTACTGTTCATATCTAGTCAAGAAACATAGGCCCTTTTCACATTACCATTCTAAACCGGATGTTATTTGTTATTGGCCCAATTTTGAGTAGCGTGATACAGGGATGGGGGTTTCATACAGCAAATTTCCTTCTGTCAATGAGCCGTCTCCAAAGCACTATGGTGATTTCAAACTGTACCACTCCCCCCCGCCCTTTTTCACTGCACAATCACTAGGGTTGCCATCCCCCTGGCGGGGGCAGTGTTTTCCCACTTTTGGGCCCCCCCAGTCTGTTGCCACTCAGGTGGTCCGTTGGGGAGCCCTGCCCACAAGCATCCCTGTATGTGCCAACATGCTCGGCACGATGACATCACCCAGAGGTGACATCATCGCACAGGACACGTTGCGGGGAGGATGCTCTAGCATTTGAGAAAAAACTCTATGGTAACCATAGAGCTTTTCCTCAAATGCTAGATCATCCCCCCCACACACAATTCGCCCTGTGCGATGATGTCACCTCTGGGTGACGTCATCGCAGCACACATGCTTCACGCATCTGCCTAAGGCTCTAGGAAGAAGACAGGAGCCCCCCTGCGAGAACACAGTAAGGACCTGGCAACTCTTAAGGATCACTCACTTGTTCTGCTAATCTGCATAACACCTATAGTGTGTAAGAAGTCCCAAATTGCTGTGGGCTAATGTATTCATACAGAAGGATCGCACCCACTGCCTTTGCCTTCCTGTTGATTTATTATTGGAATGTGAAAGGTCGGCAACTGGGGAGGCAGCCAGCTCAGAAGAGACTCCCGGCCCAACAATGAATGGGAAAACAGTTCTAGGAGGAAAAGGCAAGATGAAAGGAAAGAAAGGGAAAGGAAGAAAGAAGGAGGAAGGTAAGTCCAGGAAAAGAAGGAACAGCGTAAAAAGAAATAAGACCAACAGGGTGGAAGGAAGTGGGGTAGATATGAGAAATGTATACCTGTCCAATAGGTTTGCCAACCTCCAGATGAGGCCTGGAGTTCTGGATTTACAACAATCTCCAGAGTACAGCAATCAGTTCATCTGGGGAAAATGGCTGCTCTGGAGGGCAGACTTTATGGTATACCATAGATTCTAGGTGAAATCCCTCCCTATACTCCCTCCTC